CCCAAGGAGTCTGTCTCTGGAGGAAGAAAAAAAATCCGTGTATGTTTAGATTTCTAGTGCATCGGTTACTCTTACTATCTAAAAGCTTAAGCCATTGATGGTGAAACATCAACACCAGTGCCAAGTTTGAAATTAATAAAGATTAAGGCCAGCAGCAATGAGAATGACTTAAACTTAAGTTCAGAATCAAACATCAAAAGTCATCACAGACCGTGGCTAAAAAAAAAATACTTAAACTGTGAAAGGAAAAGCAGCTTCAAAATGTTATGAATCAACAAAGCAAACTAAATGTGACACAAGCCCACTCAATGTACTTTAAATTTAGAAACTCTTTTTCAACATTAATGACTGTCCCTGGACAGAAGCTCTTTCAATATAGTCATCTGGTCCCAAATGTGGTAGGATGAACGGTTTTGTGATTTCCTGAAGGGCCACCTTCATCTCAGCTGTTCAGCCACAAATCTTAAATGTTGCTGCCCAGGACAAGCTTCGGAAACTTCCTAGATGCTAACACTGAATGAACACTAAGCCACCTATTAATGCCCTTCTCCAGATGGCCTCTGCTCCAGCAGGGGTAAATATCAACTAGATACACTTCATACATAAAACATATATATAAACAAATAAATACATACATAAATACACACACACAGAGAACAATGCCCCTCAGATTTCTATGTTCTTTGAAAGGAAGAGCAACGTTTCAGCTTTAAAATGTCCCACGCTTGGCACTGTTTGTAATAAAGTTTGACCGAGGACTGGGATCTGTTTCCATTCTGCAAACACAGCAGATAAACAACCGCCCCGGGCTGTACACAGCTTCTAGCAGTACTGCCGCTGCGCTCAGCAAAAACCACCTTGTGCAGAGTCAGACTATTTCCCCACTTGATGGGAAATTCTGTGTCTCGCTTTTGTGTTTCTGTAATGTTCCCTTGCTTTGTATTATTCTTATAAGCATCTTTTATTCCTTTAAAGTCTCTGACCTTCTCTGAATCTCACCTAAATTTAAACTAGGGATGAGGAAAGTAAGATCTATAAAGAAAACTGAAAAGACAACGCCTCGGGAAACGTTCTGGTGACATATATTACTAGTATAACATAAATCATTATAGAAAGAAAAGAAATGTATTCCAGCAGCTTACTTTTTAAATTTTAACAAGTGATAAATAGTATTGCAAGGCTTAGGAGATCCAGCAATATCCAGATAACAATATCATCTATTACTTCTACTTCGGATTATATCAGTCTTGCAATTCCACATACTTTTAGCGACATCTTTTCAGACCTCTGTCTATCCCTTCGGTGGGTGGTGGAGAAAACCGTATGTGCAGATCCATATAGCAATGAACGTTCTAAGCCAAACACAGGAAGAGAAACGTTTCTAGGAGAGAGCGGCTTGCCAAGACAAACAAGTTCTGCCAACATTTTAACACCACAGAAGGTCAGTTAGGTTATAATTAAGTCTAATTACCATTCTCATGAATTGCAACATCTTTTCACTTGAAGGCATTTAATGCTGAGAAAAGGATGAATTTTTATTTTATATTTTCCAAGAATCAAAATCATAAGACATTCTAATCTTGGCTTTAAACCTGAACTGTCAGTTACTATCATAAAGAAAAAAGGCATGTCATCATTAAAAGGCAGAGATTTGTGCAGTTCATTTAACCACTAATAAATACTTCCTCACTCCTGCTTTTCCCTAGTCTTCAGCAGTAATTTTACAGGTTTTTTTCTCTTCTGTTCAGTACCACTCTGTTGTGGGGTTTGGTTTTTTTCATTATTCCACATTTTCTTTTTTTCCTTCTCATAGTTTTATAACCTTTCTGCTTCCCTTTTTGCTTTAGTTCCCTATTTTTAACCCTCTGTATATCTTCAGGTCTTCTTCTCTGCTGCCCCAGCAAGCTGGAAATCTGATGGTAGTAACTTTCTTCTGTTTCCACAGGCATGCTGCAACTGCTGCGTCAGAACTGCGCTGGGAAACCACCCGACCTTATCTCATCGAGGGAAAAGGTGATATAAAAATTGGTGGAGCAAAGACATTTTTTCTCCACCTTTTCTTTTCTCACAGGCCAACACAAAGAGAGAGAGAGGAAAAAACCAAGAGCCATTTGGCTGCTTCTCCTCTATCAGGAGTGCAAAACCTGGCTGATGCTCGTCCTGGTCTCATTCAAATGTGAAAGCAGCTGAAAAGCCTGGGCTGTGTCACCCAGCTCAGAGGGCAAACCCTTCGCACCCTCAGGTCTAGCTGGGGGCTGCAGTTTGCTCGTTGGCACCAGCTGCTGTGGCACGTGGCCATCCCATATGCATCGGGGAAAAAAGCCTCTCGATTGCTAGGATGGTCCTCCAATAAACTGATAATTTGACCTCTCTACAGGCTAGCAAGGTATCGAGTATTTGTTTGGGTTTAGACTCCAACAGCAAACCTTTGGGAGAACTGGTCAGTTCGTAGCACACTGTGCTCGGAGTTTAGGAAGACCCCCGCAGCGCCCGGCTAAGAGGACGAGGCACATCTTTGCGGGAGTCACCTCGTGCCTCAGCGAAGAGAGGAGTGCTGCCTGTGGGCTGCCTGCTACTTCTGTTTTATTTTTTACATGGAACATACAAAGCTGGTGCAGAAGGAGGGCTTTCTAAGCACAGGACCCCCCACAAAACAGTAACTATTATTAACCATAACTATAATTAACAGTAACTATTATTTTATTTCCTCCAAGTAAAACTTTGCCACTTCTCCCTGACCCTATGCTTGAAACAAATTTATTCTCCTGGTGAAGAACTTCACATATCAGAAAAGATGATTCTGCACTCTGAGGGAATTACTACCTCTTAAAATATGTATGATCTACAAAAATAAGTCAATTTTCCCTTGCATGTCAAAAGCCTAGGTGTGTAACAAAAAATCTTTCACTAAAAAGCTAAATGCTTTTTAGCATTTTTCTTTTAAAGTTGTCAACGAAAATTTCAGTAAAAGAAATTCAATATTTTCCTGTCATAGGCTAAAGTCTCATATGGTTGTGCTCTCATACTGCAAAAAGTGTATTAAAAAAAATGACAGTTTTAGTTATCACATAGTACTTCAAGTTCCACCTGTCCTACAGGAGACTCACATGTCATCATGGAATTAAGATGCCACTCCACTTAGCAACCCTTATGTCATGTAAGGCTTTTTATTGTAGGTGGTGCACAACATAAATCCACGGGACCTTTTTGTTTACTTCCAATTATATTAATCTCTTGCATCTCTAAGATTAACTTCTCCTCCCACATATTATTCACACCTGTAGCCCTACAAAAACATGTAGACTGAAATCCTTGACCCACTGAAGTTGCTGAGGGTTTTGCAACAGACTTCCAGAGCTCAGATTTTAGTTTCCCATCCCAAGTTAATATATTACTTCTCTGATTACTTTAAATCCAGTTGTTCCTTTTTCCAATCTTGCTGAGTTGAAAAAGTGTCTGAGTTGTAAAAGAATTAAGCTGTTTTTCTGTAATTTACAACGGTGCAAGATGGTCCTGGCCCATTTGGGGTAGAACACTGTCTATGGTTACATTTGCTTGGCGGTTGATCATCTTATGACTATCCCTGTTGAGTCTACAAAACTCAAATTGTCTGTTGCCAACATAATCCCTCAGAACTTACTGCTGTACATACAGCCCTTGAACTCTGCGTATTACAGGACCAAATGACATAGCAGGTTTACTACTTCAAGGCAATTTGGTACAGGTTAAGTGAAATTCTAGAGTCAAATTGGTTCAAATATCAGTTCAAATATAGTTTCATATTCCTTCACCTAACAAGGCAAAAATCCACACAGATAACAGTGGAATATCAAGAAAATATACACAGCTTGTTCCTTTGCTTTCCAAACCTGAAATCCATTATCTAGAGATCCACCACTTACTAGCACACATACCAGAGCACAGTCTGAGCAGATGGTTCAAAGCTAACTGTCAATCCTTTTGCAGTTCAAAACAGTGGTGAACTACTCCAGCTGTTTTCCAGATCAAAAATATTATTGTCATTTTGCTATCACTGCGTGCTGAGGGTTATGTAACAAAAATGCACATGTCCCTCTGCCTGGAATGCAGTTAATTTCCTCCCTCCCCACTGAGAGTTGTAAGTAACAATTCAGACAGTCTGGATGCTTCAGTTTTGAGCACGGCCAGAGATGCAACCCTGGAATTATTCCACGTGGTAACCCGCTATTTGTAATGCACCAGTCTTCTGGAGGTTTCACAGACAGGGTATACTTTGCAGCCTGGAAAAAACTAAACACTATCGTCCTGTTTATACATGACCTCTTACTGTCTGTAGGGTACTATGAATGCTCTGCTGTCGTTCCTTAGTTTAACCATAGAGTTCGCTTTATGTTGGAATTTTAAGTATTCTAAATAAGTGTGCTAACTAGATGAAGTAATTGCTTCCGATCTGAAATCAGCCACTATACTTGCTATATACTTTGGTATGCAAACATAAAGAATTATACACTATTAACTTTAAAATAGGGGCATAATCCTATCTTAATTTACAAATATCCGAACATCATGCAAGCAGTTAAATTCAGACTCCATAATGCTTAACCGCTTCATGCAATTTGCTTACATAAAAAGAACAACTGGAACTCTGCTTAGAACAGCGCACTCCAGAAACAAAACTAATTTCCTTAATGCAATCTTTTCTGCAATGTGCCTTTCATCTCTGTAAGTGCAACTAACCCAGTGATATTTATATATCAACTATAAGATCTTCAGGACAGGAGCTGTCTTTCTATAAAATGTTTGCTCTGTACTTAACATCTCTCAGTTGTTCCTGTGATATAAATACAACGGGGTGACCAACTGTATGCTAGGGTGTCAGCTGAGATGAAACATTAACTTCGTACTTAACTGCAGCAATTTCCTTTAATGTGTTATGACTTGGTTCAGCTTGTTCTGGATTTCTGGCATGGTTTACAGCTTACTTCTGTAGGGAGCACCTGCAGTGGTTTTACTGTTCTTACCTGGTTAAATAGGCCAGAGCCAGCTCAGATCCCGACTGCTTTTTGGGCTCTGCCTTTTTCGTAGAGATTCCAGCTTCCCTCATCAGCTGTTTTTCCTTCTTCTTGCGCTCTTTTTTTAATTTTCTTTCCAGTTTCCTCCTTTCCTCTGCGGTAAGTTCTTCCTCTTTTTTTGTTGCCTGAAAGAATCAACATTTAAATAAAGTGTTTATATTTCGATCAGAAAGTGAACAAAATATGCATAAATGCAATTGAAGGCTACAGGTAATCTTTAAAACCAGAAGCTTCAAGCTTCGTAATTTCACTGTTCACTTTACTTCCATCACCTCTTTATTCTGCTCAATTCACAGAACTGTAAATACTGCACTTGCAGAAATCTGTAGAACTGCCCTGTACAGACGATGATACCGTTCTCAGCAGTACAGTAATCTCAGCACCTTCTAGCTATGGATTAAACATCGTATCTAAAATTTGCTGGGCTCTTTGTCCTCCCATACTCAATCCTAAGCGGGGAATGTGAACAGCAGAGGCTGTTCCATAGTGGAGGAAGGGTATGGATTTCTTTTAGCGTACACACATTTAAGCGGGAGAAGTAGGGTTTCCTTAAGATCCTTAGTTGCTGGCGCTGTTTGTTGTGTAACCTCACACTTCCCTGGACTGAGGAAACCTCGGTCTGCCACACAGGGGATTTGTCTACATTATGCCAAAGGAGATGATGTGACAACTACCATCTTCGTCCAAGACCTCTTTGGAGATCCTCTAACAATCTTGGGTAAACATGTGCACAACCTTCAATAAAAATGGAAACACACATATCCCACAAAGGTTGATGTTTCTTTAGGTTTCCAAACAGAACGGTTAATATTCACATCTAAAACAATATTGCTATTAATATATGCATAGGTATACCCCAAATGAAAATAAGTATTTCATGTACAGGTGAAGAGCATTAAATAGATACGCTGAGTTTATCAGGGAAAAATCCAGTGTGAGATCACATGGTGTAGAAATAAAACGCTGTTCCATAGCAAGGGGAGATTGACTCCAGGGACTCCGAGATGTCTGCGAGAGGCTCATTCATACCTTTCCAGCCAGTAGTCTCACTGAACCGTTAAGTATCAACTAGAAGCATAAAAAAATACTAGATAGCTGTTTTTTCAAGGCCCTTCCCAAGATTTCCCTGAGAGAGAGAGATTTACTCCCTAACTCCCTGATTTTAAATCCCTATCAGATTTACTCTGATAATCATCATACAGACACCTTCACAAAACTGTAGACAAAGCAGCTTCTGGGTATCCAAACCCCTACGTATTGGGTAAAAGCACTTTATAAACCCACAAACCCATAGGTGATATCAATTCGTGTTTGTCGAGTGCTTTCAAATTAAAATCCAGACGTGGTGCTAAATAACATTATTCTTTCTGGCATTCAAGCAAAGGATGGGAAACAAGACAATACCTGAACACAACCTTATTTGCCAAAGACACCTGCTGAGGACTAAAATTTGCTCAGTTTCAATTCATGTATCATCTAAGTTTACCCTGACTCGTCTTTTCAACTTTCTGTTTTCAAAGACCAAAAAAGGGCAAGAAAGCAGAAATTAGAATAAATGGGAGTGGGACAGTAAAGAGGATTTGCTTTTTTTGTTTAAAAAAAACCTTTTTAGCTACTTTTATGGAATAGCCAGCATCCATGTGCAAACCCATGCAAAAAAGCAACATACGTTGCATTTGTATAGAAGACGTTTTATAACTCATGCTGAGAACGAAATAATATTTAGGGTGCAGGGAGGTACGTAATTGTCATACAGGAAACAACGTTTTCATTGGAAAAGCCACCCTGGTACTTACTAAAATAACAATCCAGCCACACAAAGCCCAGGAAAACACTGAGGGTGGTCATTTGTAAAGTGTTTGTAAAAGATTACTACAGCAGCTGTCCAACACACGACACTCTACAGTTAATCTTCTTTTAAAAATAATGTAATGAATTTGTTTACTTTTCTGTGAGCCACGAAGCTTTCAAATAAAGTGACTGTGGCACATCATTAGAGCCGGTCTGATACAGCGGCCTCTGCTCCTTCATACTTACAGTAAATGCATATCTCTGTACCATCCCTTCCCCCCACATTCCTCACATTATCAAAAAGCTTTTTATCCCTCTCCCCGACCGCTCCATTAAAAACAAAACAAGTTGCTCCCACCCTGTAGGTCCCAATGTAAATACCGAGCCCTAACAACATTTGTTTCCAGCATCGCAATTGCTGCACCGTGGGCCGTCTGAAACAAGAGCGTTGTTCTCCCTGCGGGGTCTGGCGTGAAGGAGCCGGGGTTCAGGGACCTCCTGCTAGCCCACGGCAGCAGCCCAGGGCAACCCGCGTCATCGCGCTTCTCTTTGGGACCCCCAGCACACGCGCTGCGAGAGCACTCCCAACTTTACAGCTCAAACAACTTTTCTAGTTGCAACTATACTTTTACCCATCCACGTCGACTTGATTCATCTAGTAGTATGTACCACAATTTGGCCTTGACTGGTTTTTAATTTGAAAGCCTCAAGTTTTACGTGCTTCATAAAATACCTACGTTTAGTGGTATATTCTCCACTGAAGCTGAGGGTAGTTTTATCGCAATTTAAAAAACAACGACACAACCAAAACCAACCTTCCCTGAAAACAGGGACTCGAAAGAAAACAAAACCATACCTCTCACTGGAATTTAAAGCCTAGCTGTATTTATTTTAACTTGGATGATCTCTGTTACAATACTCTACTGATGCATCTCTCCTTTCTTTAAATCAACGGCCTTATTTTTTAATTTCGCTTTCCCTGAACTACTAGTGTGAGTGGTTTTCTGAAAGATGCGTCCAAAGTTTGAGAGCCATTCGGATTAACAGTTTTAGTATTATTTAAATTAAAAAAAACCCCAACCAACAGGACTTCATTATTTTTGAGGTTATAAATATTCCACGTTGTCTCCTTCTATAATTATAAAGTGACATCACAATTTGTAGTGCTACAATTTAATCTTAACTACAACATTGTGAAGTCTGTATTTGAGCATGAGACACTTGTTTATTGATGTGATAAATTTAAACCACGTGCACACAGAAGAAACACAACACTTGCTTATTTGCAAAGCCTGCTGAGAGCTACCACACCACCTCGGACCCTGGGCTCATTAGATCTCAATCTAAACAAGGTCAGGCTAGGTCAGTACACTCGAATGAATGACATTCAGAGGAGAGCCAGTGTTTTCTCGTGATTAAGGAGGTGGGAGTCTTCCACTTGGAAACTTTCCAGAAGGCCTGAAAAGGCGCTAAGAGGGATATTGCCACTGGATGCCATATTTTGAATAAAAGACAGACCCCCAAATCTTTAACACTTACGCTCATAAAACCCCATGTCATCTTTGCAAGGGTATGGAGATGTGAGCTCGGGAATCTTCAAGGAAATTCCCAAAGTTCATGCTATACCATGTCCATCTGCATGGAAAGTGCTGGGACTGCCAACACAGTGCCTTTCATCAATGCCAGCCTCTAAATTTCTGAATTAGATGTAAACATAGTAATGTACTGTAAATAGTCTCAGACATCTGATTCAAAATATCTGGAGGCTTCAGCTGTGGCAGGTTTAGATACCAGTTAAAGTATTCCATTATTTTTATCATCTGGAAATATTGCACAAATTTGAAACATTTTGTAAGGCATCTTTAGGAAACAGTTTACCCATCACAGAAGGGGAACCATCTCAAACTGAAGTAAAGCATTCGATAGTGTAAAGCAGTCCTGCTAAGCCATTCGGAACAGAGAACAGTAACTATAACTCCAAGAGAAACTGGCAGAAAGATGTACCCAAGACAGGATTTCTTGAAGATATCTGACCCTTTTTTCTGCAGCAAGAGCCGCAAAACCAAACAGGTGTAGTTTTTCAGAGACATCTGCATAAAAGCTTATGCTGCCAGGGGACTCTGAACTGTAATAGCTGGGCAGCCAGTACCAAGACGGTATTAACAGCACACTAATTGTGTTGTGTTTCAGCAGAGCACTAAGTGCATTTCGTAATTTGTTTCCAGATTTACAGTTACCCAAAAGTCCTCGACTGCCTCATACTTGAGTAGAATTGAAGACATCTTGTAAGACTTCTTTCTGTCCCTCCTCCTCGCTCATCACTGTTTCAAAGACTCCTACAGTTGCATCCCTAATTGTTTGCTGCCAGCACAGAATAAGGTTGTCAGAGTCAGAAACTCTGAAGAATTGCCACAATGAACCGAATACTCATTTATTACAAATTTGCCTTTGGGATTCGCCTGTGTAGGTCTGAACTTTCCACCTGTTCAGGGCTTTGGTTTTGCTGCTAAACCTATAGCAGTAACCACAGACCAAGCCACAACACCAAATTTACTATTTATTAGGACCAGTGAATCCAGCTCCTCTAAAAGCCGATAGACTTTTATCCTTTTCTACCAGCCCAGCAACACAAGTCTGTACAACAGCAAAACAAGCAACAGCAGAAATTCAGAGGAATAAATTATAACTTGACTAACGGTGACAAACGTATTAAGCGGTGTCAAATCTTTGAACTCCGAAGAGAAAGATGGAGATATGGATGATACGGCTTATTTCATAGTAGGAGTATTGTATTCCCTTGTTTGTTCATTAAACTCATGTTATTTCATAACTTTTAATATAGAGAAATGTCAAAAGGGGCTTTATTCACTGACCACAAACCGATGAGGAGTTACCGACCTGTCACACAATGGCTTCGGCTTACAAGTAGCCTTTTGCCCCCAAAATGCCCCGTGCACGATACCAGCATGCAAAACGTTCTGTTTGTCTTACACAATACATATGAACTCAGATAAATAACTGGCCATCTGCCAGCTTAAAAACAAAAAGCGGAATCTATAAACACAGTTCAAAACCTACAAAGAAGAAAGGCTGGCAAATCCTTAGATGCAAGGTTCCTAAAAAAAAGATTACCAAATGATTTACTACCTGAGGCTTGCCAAAGAGCTGTGCTACAACTACAGCTATAGAATTCGCATAAAATAGGTCACGGCCATATTGAATTTAAATAACTATTTTCTATCATTTAGCACCTTAGGAAGAGAAGTAGTATGATCAGAGAGGGCATATGAAATTTCATTACCATGCAGAAAGCAAATTTTGAATGAAAAGTAACATTTGTAGAAATACACCTCCTTACATCACATCTGTAGCGCTTACAGAGGAAGATTTTTTTAAAAATTATAAGTTACTCAAAGAAAAAAATTTAAAATTTTTCATAAAAGGTAGGTGTTTTTAGAATCTTGACTCCTCACAACAAAACCACTGGGAATAACTTACATTAAGTTGACTTGGAAAGGTTTCTGTAGATGCAACCCAGGCAGAAAAAAGCCTCAAACAAGTTCTGCAGGAAGCCAGATTTAAATAAGAACAAGCCTTTTATCTTTCTGATCCAGGAAAGGATTCTATTAGTGGTCATGTAAAATGAAAAAAAAAAAAAAAAAAGTGTCCTTGTGTAGACAGCTACAGTATCTCACAAGCAGAAGTGATCAGGGAGCACCCTAAATTTGCAGCTGTCATTCTGAATAGATGCACCTTTATTAGCTTGAACTCAGGCTTAATTTACAACTTTGTGATCTTTACATGTTTCACAGATTTACAACCAATTCTGAGGAGCACATAAAGTGTTATCACTAGGAACTGCTAAATAAGAAGAAAATGAACTTGAATTTACTAAATTAAATGAAGCATTTATAGACACACAGAACAATATGATCTACAGACCCTAGCTTGTTGAATTCCACTTTCTAGATTGTTTGCTCCTATAATATACATACTATAGCAGATTAAGTTCTAAGGCATAAATTAGTACCATATTTTATTTCTCATTTTTCTCCACCAGTATCACAGTCCTGAATATAACAGAAATATTTAAGACACTACCACGACTGCAGGCTTGGGGAATGCAGTTTTGCTTCATTTGCAACTACAGCACTGCCAGGAATTTTCACATATTTCTCGGAGAATTTTGCTTACTCCCTTACTCTTAATTAAACCACGTTAACCAATCGGGAGAAGATGGAATAAGGAAGAAAAAAAAAAAAAGAAGGAAAACCTAAGGAAATCATTTGTATCCACATCCCCGTGGCTTACACACAGCCCTTTTAACCCCTCCCCAAAAACACACAGAGGAATTTTAATAGAAGGAGCACGAGACTGTCGCAGCGCTCAGCGTTTTCATTGCCACCAAAGTCGTCCTCTTTAGGGGTGCTGACAATTCCTTCCGAAGTTTAAAAAGGCTTTGGGCTGCAAGAGGAGGTAGAAGCAGAGCAGAGGCTGTTTTGAAATCCTTGCTGGAGAATTTAAAAAAAAATAAATAAATAAAAGAACCCCAAACCACGAGCTCGATCTCCTCCAATGAAAGAGGTACCACAGGGTGTAGGCAGGTTGCCAGGCGAGCTCGGCAGCGTGACCGCGCTGCATTGAGTTTCTTTAATGAAAGCCAGGAAAGAACACATTACACAGTGTTTCTTCTGAGAGCCAGCTAGCCTCCAGTGATTGAAATCAATAAAAACAGTCGGCAAGGGGCCCAGTGGGGGAAGAGAGAAATCTCCACTACAGCATTCAGTTTGCTTTCCACTTTCTCCCTCCCCCCTAAAGTTAAACTCTGAAGATCACCATGACAAGCTGCTTCGCTTCCAGTGCGGGGAAGACGCTGGTGGGGATTTAAAGGAAGCGAGCGCTTTCCTTCGCCTCCCTGCCTTCGCTCTCCCCGCAGCGCGAAGGAAATGAAAGGCTTGTTTGGAATTTGAATCCCGCCTGGAAAAACTTCATCGGACAAGTGCATCGTTCTGCATTTCAGGAAAGGGATGGATTTTACGGTCGGAGAATGCTAAGAGGTGAGAGGGGAAAGAAAAGCAGGAATCTGATTCAGCCAGAGCCCACGTACAGGCTAGGATGTCCACCACGGCGGAGGGGACCTCTGAAGCTGCGGGAAGAACTGCAAGCAAGCGCCTGAGATCGGCACCATCCACATCCTAAAGCAGCAGAAACGTTAGGAAACACGTGACCGAGGCGCCGACCCAGGTAAGCAGAACCAGCTTTTAACAATTCTCTGTACTGCATCCGAAATCAGAGCAAGACCTTTCTGCTTTGGCCTCCCTCGTTAACCTCGGGCAAGTTAACACTAAGCTTGTCCCGTCTGAAAATTGTGTCAGGCCACTAATCCTCACTGAACTATAAAACATGCACAAAAGCCCTTTGTTTACTGGTTTTGCATGAATTTGCTGGTTGACAAGGTAGGACAGGGCCATTGCGTAAGTCCAGGAGGGCCTGCTTGGAGTAAGGAAACATGACTGACCCCGCACGCTGGAGCTGACTGTGATCTGAGAGAGTGCCAGTAATGAATTTCTAATATGGTCCATATTTATCTATTTTATTTATGTATTTTAATCACCATAGCAGCCACATACAGTACATACTTGCACCGAGTTCTGTGTGCTGATCTGTATCACGAATTACAGCAACTTGCTTGCACGGGGGCTGGCCTGATTGTTCTGTTGAAAATAACTTTGGAATTACTCGTTAATACAGCCAAGGGGGATTTCTGGCATGTTGTTTAGGAATGACCGACACAGGTTTACCCAGCACGTGTATATTCTGCCATTACCCTAATGCAGGCAGGTTTTATACAGATACCCCTATAGAAATGGGTATCACAGATCACAGCTGTAGATCACAACATTCTTCTCAAGTTGTTGGCCAACTTCAGACGATTTATCTAGACTTCAGTGAGACGTGAGGCTGAAATCAAAGCCTGCCTTTTGCAAGGCAAACAAAAATGATGATAGCTACATCTCTTTTCCAGCAGTGGCAGGAATTCACTGGAACAGATAATAAATAGGTGCCTGTGGTGCAAGAGCAACCACGCTTGCCCCCTTCATGCCGGTCATCATTAGGTGTTGACAGCAACACACACGCTCACTGCCAGAGAGGGCTGCGGAGGAACTGGATGCCTCCACTTCCACTCAATGTTTCGGCACCTCGTTATCCCAAACATGTAGGGTACACAGTCAAGATGATGCTGATGGTAGAGAGAAAAGACTTCCCAGCATCTGCTCCATTGCAGTACCAGCAGACAGAATGCAAGAATTCAGTACAGCAAGTGCATGTGTATTTCTGCAGGTGCAATGTTGCTCTGTCTTTGGAAAACGCAGCCTTTTAAGGGTGATTTTGTTATTTTCACATGACATGGAAATGGAAATGACTCACACACTTAAAGAATGACCTGGAGAACACCTCCATGACCGAAAGTAAGACACTGTTATTTTTTGCACTAAGTTTAAGTATTATTAAAGCACGAACTATTCTGATCAAGCTATGAAAACAGCTGAGACTATATTTAAATATTAAGTTTTTACGCTGATTTTATCAGTCCAGTTTCGAACTCTTCACACAAAACAGTCACAAAGTTAGAGCTGAATATATAATTAAAGACCAATATTTACAATAAAAAAGCAAAGTTGTGATTCATAACAGAATACGATTCCATATGAATTTTTGGGCATATCCACAGACCCACGATTCCCCTTTTCAAAATCTGTTCCATGTTTTGCCTCCCCCCGCACAGATCCTTTGCAGAAATGACAGCACCTTCATAGTTCGGGAATCACAGCAATCACTCCCACACCGATCAACAAATCTGTCTTGCACTGCACTTGGAGCTAAATTTATCCTTATGCAGAGGAACTCATTGAAGTCTTCACTTAAAATTTCAAACAAGGAAAGCTTAGGTGTGACTTACACAATACATATCACTTGTATCGACATTCTCAAGCTCAAATGATATTCCTCCCCATTACTCCTCCCACAACAGAAAATACATTATCTTTAAAGCAGAGTGCAAGGTAATTTTGTTCATAGTGATGCATTTTTCAGAAGCTAAGTGGTATGACTTTCCACAACATTTACTGTTAATGGGATGTGTTCTTTTCAAACACATAACACAGAAAAAAAAGTATTTTCTCATTCGTAAGTTTTGACCAAATACAGGTATTCTAGCAGTCATACCACAAGGCATGACTTGTCAAAGTTTTTCAGCCATGCCACTGTTATTGCAGCAGGTTCCCTGAACCCAGTCCTTCACACTCTTCCTTTAGAGCATGGAGATCTGGAAGAATCCCATGTTGCTTTACTGAGTTGGATACAACAAATTAGAATTAATGGGAACCTGTTTCTCATGTTTCTACTAGTCTTGATAGTCCCCTATCATTAGGAGTACTCCACATCTTCACCACAGTCAAGAGTTCCAAATAGTTGATGCCAATTGTCCTTACAGCAACATATGTTAGTAAAAGAGCTTTTTGAAAACAGTATATAAGGTTTAGTAATAGTCAGCAAAGTAGATGAAATTATTTTAAAGGTGGAAGGACAAACATTTTGTTTTAATTTCACCTAAATCTTTATGAAGGGAAAGATCTGGGATTCTACAAAACAAGTTGAATGGCTATTCCAAAAATGCTAAAATTGAACAATGTAAGTGCAAACATCAGGGTATGCTAAACACCTGGATAGACCATCTTGGGTGAAACATAATACTTGGGTCTGCACTGGTGGAAAAAGAGTGTTGCCATCCCTTTCAAATGAACATGACACTCAAGAAAACGGAGCGGGCAGGATTCTTTTCTTCAGCAGAATGTATTCATTTCATGATTCAACAGCCCTAAAACAGACACCCACAGCAACACCCAGAACACAAGCAGCTCCTTGACTGCCCTGCACAGCCATACCACAACTGGGTATCAACAACCTCAACTCAAGTCTTCCCATCTGATTTGCTTTACAATAGGATAAATGGTTTGGGAGACAAAGAACTGGACCCAAAGTCTGGTTATGAAGAGAGAGACATCTTAACACAAAATAAGGAATGAATGTGGTGGACTTTACAGATTTCTGCATTTGACATAATGCCCAGCGATAACCAGAGATGGGTGACTTTGTGACAATTAATTTCTGCAAAATGATTACTCTTGTAAATATATATAATTTGCATTAATAGACCTTTGAACCCCTGTATGCGGAATTTGAACCTGTTTAAAGAAACAAATACTATAAAGCTCCACTTGCACCTCATGTACAATTCAGTTCCCACTGAACATCCTGTTCTAAGAAGTCTTGTCTCAAGGAGAAAGGTGAAGGCATAACGTCTTTCTGAGTAGGCATGAATTACACGATCTAGCTTTCCTTCAGGTCTGCTTGCTGCTCTTCACAATGATCAAATGCAAGTAGCACTGTCTTGTTAAATGTGACCGGTAGGAAGAAAGAATTTGAACATATTGTTTGTCAGTTTGAATTGATTTTCTGAAAGTTCCTTCAGAAAATTCCATCCATATTTTCAGCATTTTGAAAGTCTCTGAAATTAAAGTAAAATCCATTCCCAAATCCTGTTTATTTAGCAACGCTTTACATCCTGTTCTTGTGAGCTCCCTGATAACTCTACGTCCATGACACTCACTCTTTAGCTCTCCAAATTCATCACACAGTCCTGGAATACTGAAATGACATCTGGTTTTTATAGCATCAGGTGTGCCCTCATTATGCTTTTGTGAGGCAGAGCAGAAAATTGAAAAACAATTATGATTTAAGACCCTAAATTGAAACCTGTTGACTGTTTAGTTAAAATTCTCCATAAAACCTGATGTATTTCAGCAGACCACACTGAAGGATATAATTGTAAAAGCAGCAAAAAACAAGGTGTTTGGTGGTGGTGGTTGCTTATTTTGGAATTAAGGCATCTAGTAGTTATCCTAAAATAAAATTGTATTAATCTACATTTCAATAATAAGTAGTTTACACATATTTATAAAATAAATTTACATGAACTGAATTTACAACTCATGTTAGTTTCAAAGCCAAGCTTTACATGCAGAAGTTACATTTTACATCTTTGATAAACCAACTACAAGCATTACAGAAAAGGACACTTACCCATATGATTTTAAAGTTAAGTATAAAATACAGTGGATAATTACAGACAGAGTAACATGTGAAATACGAGAAAGCATGGACCAGCCCACTAACAGGAGGATGAAATTTATCACATACCTGTTCTGTTACCATGTAATTCTGCAGGATCAAAAGAAAGGAAAGTTTTAAGTAGGAACAACAACCAACTTCTCGATTGCGCGCAGGGCAGCACAGCAAAAAGCACTGGACATGGTCACTAGAAAACGCAGACCGTCAAAGGTAAATGTTCGAATTGTTAGTGAAAGAAGAGTCAACGCCTCCATGGGGCATACCGGATAATGGCAAGAGGCGGAATAGATTGCAAAGCTTTGAAAGTGAAGTTTAGGCTTGACAGAAGAAAAGGAGAGCAAAGGAAGAGAGAGATTAATAGCAAATAGAAGGTCCATCTCAAGGGAAATTCTGGTCCTCAAGAAATTTTTCCAAAAATTTAACTAGTCTGGAAAACAGCCAAGATGTCAGAACAACAGAAAAGCTTCATATTTCTTTTTACTTGCAAACAATACAACATATTTTGAAACAGAAAAATCAACCTCAAATCAAATTAAACAGTCTACCCTAACATGAGACCTTACACTATTATGTGAAATGAGAAAGCAGATATCATACTTCTCTGTTGCAAATTAAAGTTGAGATGTTTCCTAAAATACTTTAAATAAAATTGCAATCTCCAAAAGAAAAAAATCAAGTTCAACACAGAAATTTTTCTCATTTTTTCCTTTTCTTTTTTTAAACTTTCTTTAGAAATGAGTACTTTCCCTGGAACACTGGGAGCTAAAATCATACTATAAGGTTGTAAGGCAGAAATGGAGAGATGACCTCCTGCCAGCGATGCAAGCAGCACAGTTACTGAAATGTGAAATCAAGGAGAGTAGGGAACACTGGAAAAGTTAGAGAAGCCAGGAAAATCAACACCTATTTTTCTTTGAAGATAGCAAAGACAAAACATTTTACTTCCTGCACAGGATTCTTCCAGATTCTTTGAATGAACTCTTCGTTTATTTAACGCTTTCATAAAATCTGTCATTCACCCTTAAAAACACCTATTAAATTCCAAAGCGGTTTTGAAGCACTGACTTATCTCCCACTGGACATGACCAACCAGGCATCCAGTAACAATAAGAGGTGCAAATTCATGATAAATTCCAACTTTCAAGTTATAAACAGGAGCATGATTCATACTCTTCCTGGCTTTGAAAATGTTTACAGTGTTATTTTTCTTTTTACTTCTACACCCAGATCTTGCTATGATTAGACTTGGGATACAACTGGAAATGAAAGATAATAATCT